CCAATGAAATTTATTATTAAAAAAAGATTCCATTAATTTTTACCCCATCCCCACCCCCGCTCACGGCTTTTGGAAAAGTTTGAGGCCCTGAAATTTTGAAGTAAGATACAGATGGCAATTATGTATGGCCTGTACCCCAATCCCGGAAAAAGCGTTGGTTCTGGGTGAAATAATTTACTGGAACTTAATTATATTGAGGGAATATTTTAAACTTTAAGTAATGATTTTATAAACGGTGAAAACTAAGCTATTATATTTGGCACATATAATTTAAACTGCCCTTCATCTTTTGCGTAAGTCGATCTACATTTAGCTATACCTGGGAATTTTTAAATTCTGTGCGTACAATTTTAAAAGGTCTGGTTACGCCCCTGGTTAGTGTCAAGTTATCTCTGAAGCTCAGGGTGGCATTAATGGGTGTCTTTCTTTACAAACAAAAAAAATAGATAAGATCTACTGTCATGCTACGATACATTTTGCTCAGTAAGGGAAATTGGCCTGCTGACTAAAAATTTGATTTTCAGCACCAACCCACGCCTTTAATACGATGGACGACAGCCCTTCTCACCTATCTTTGACTTGTGGAATTTCAGAGCCACGGATTGTCTGGGACCGATCTCTTGCGGCACGCTTCCTTCCACCTCCCCCTCAAAAACGTCCCAGTGCGGCGCCCGCAGCGTCCCGTCTCCGTTGTTTGAGATGGAGATAATGCATCCGGTGCCCTCAGAAATCCGGGACGCCAGATATTCTATGCCATTTGGTGCCGTAATACCATTGCGGACCTGACCTATGGTGCCTATCATGAGGTCTGTAATAATAATAATAATAATAATAACAGTAGTAGTAGTAGTTTTTAAATATACATGAGACATTAAAAATCATTTTACAAACAACAGTCATTGTGCCAAAAAAGGGTTATTTTCATCGCTGTGCGTCAACGTCGTTGCCAAGGTTATTGCAAATAGCACTAGGGGATAAGTTGAAAGACAAAAAGCGAGGTAAAGTACCTTCCTTTGCTTAACGCAATTTCGTCGACCAAAGAAAATAGTCGTCTTTGCTAAGACCGTCTTTTACAAACAAACAGTCGTCTTTGCTAAGACCGTCTTTTCACAAACAAATAGTCGTCTTTGCTAAGACCGTCTTTTCACAAACAAATATTCGTCTCTGCTAAGACCGTCTTTTCACAAACAAATAGTCGTCTTTGCTAAGACCGTCTTTCACAAGCATCAGTAATGCGATCTGATTAAAGAGGCGCAAACCGTTTGATGCTGGCAATTTGGCTTCCATTTTCATTTGACACAATAAATCGTTTTAGTTTACTTTATTTACATCACAATGTGTGAAGAAAAAACAAATGACACGTACCTCCGTAACCTCCCACACCTGCTATAAACCCACAAGCATACCTAAACAGAAAAATATGCGAATATATATATTAATTTCTATTGACGTTATCACATTCTGTTGAGAAATAGTGAATAAAATAAATCAAAGATGGCTTGCTTCTCTCGAGCTGTTTGGGATATTAACACTTTTTGTCCCTATTCAAGCGATTTTGTGAATTTGTGTGATAACATTGCCTAACACTCCACATGACGGGTAAATGCACTTTATTAATTACAAAGTTTATGCTTTTGTTTGGTATAAAAAAGAGTGGCCTTGAAAAATGTCGATCAAGTGTAAATACTTCTAATGGATCTGTTTATAATAATTATTTGTAATAATTCACAATAATGATGTCTGGATGATTTCTGTGAAAATTGGGCAATTTAAGGCTCCAGGTGTTAGTTGTTCGCTCTGCTTTAACTCTTATTAGTCCATTATGCCTTTAAGCGAACGGTGACACGGAATTACATATAATTTTCATCGTAGTTTGTGATACTGTCACAAAATTATGCCCGCATGTTTACGTTGTGCCAGTATGACTTCTGCCAAAAGCGGACAATTTATGTTGACAAGTGTTTATCATTGTTTGAATGTAGTTCAGTACTGCTGCAATGTAATAGTCGACTAGTGTGCACCTGTGCGTGTGTGTGTGCGTGTGTGTGTGTGTGAGAGAGAGAGAGAGAGAGAGAGAGAGAGAGAGAGAGAGAATGAGAGCGAGCGAGAGAGAAAAAGAAAGAGAGAATGTAAAATTCAGCATGCGTAAAAAAATCAACATTCTGCGGAAGAAAGAACATTCGATTTACAGGGGAAAAAACAATAGACTCACAACAAAACGATCCCGATCGCCATGATATGACTTCTTCACTATTTATCTCCAAACAGCTTCTTGACTGAAAGGTAAAGAAATTACGTCTCTGATCTAGTTCACACATCCTTAAACCTTTAATGGGTCGTTTTCAACGAAAGTTACCTTATGTCAGCTTTTCTATTAGCTTCAGTGGCGGATTCAAGGGGGTGTCAGGGGGGTTCTGACTCACCTTCGATTTCTAAAAAAAAATCACACCGATGTCCCCCTCTTGAAATTAGAATTTTGACTTGCTGAATCATAGTTCTAAACCGAACCAAATGGCACCGTTCGCCCTCTAAAATACCAAAATTTTTCGGGGCCCTTCAACGGTCCCCGAACCTCCACGCCAAGGAGGGTTGGGGAGGGTCGGCTTCGTATCCACGGACCCCCCCACCCCCTTCAAATAATCTTGGATGCGCCTCTGATCTTCCAACTTAAACTGTTTTAACTTAAATACATGCATTACATTGTGCATTACACCTTTATATAGCAAAAAATCCATTTCCTAGAAATGTAAGTAATTTTTCCTTTAATCGTCAAAGAAAAAAAAAAAACAGTCACAAAATCTTGATCCATAAACCCTCTTTTGAGCTCTGAATTTCTCACTGTTACAGTGATCACTGAAGTGCATCCAACTTTATCTCCATAAAGAGAGATATTCAAATTTTTAAAAACTTAGGGTTTCAATTATCTCAATTGCTTTTGGATGGTGTATGCTTTTCTAGTTTTGGAAAAAAATAGCTCAAATTTCCAACAAAATTGGTTTTCTTATTTTTATATATTAAATTATATCACACATTGTAGTTCTAAAAATCTCTTTCCAAAAGGTCAAACTGTGTATATTTAAATGATAACAGTTATAATCTTTAAAAAGAAACAACAATTTCTCGTAACTTGAACCAAACATTGACATTTTTCTCTGAACTAGTTTCGGCTTCCACCCACATTTGTGTTAAAATATTCATCGTGATTCTAAGTCTCTGCAGTTTATATTCGACCGGCAGATGGCAGCACGTATATCGTGTAAAAAAAAAAAACAAAAAAAAAACACCAGTTAAGTCAAAGTTACATCTTTCCTACACAGTATAACAAAGTAATGTGTTACCTTCGTTCCGTTGCTGTGTGTTTTCCACGGGTGACTGTCAAAGCTTGGGCCTTCAACATCTGACTAGGATTCAAACGAGACCCAGGATATATTCCTGTAGACGCCATCGCTCATTGGTGGATGGCTATAATTGACAGCAATTTTAAATTTAATTAAGGCCTCGAGGATATTAATGAAAAAATCCAAAAACTATTGCAGCTGATTTAATTTCCTATTAACTAAAGGATGCGGCCTACCAAGCAAAAAAAATTTCCAAAGCTTGTAGTCGCAGTGTAACACGAGTGACGTAATATCAGCGATTTGGGGCTAAAATTGTCATTTTTGTAATCAAGGGTTTCTCTTAAACAAAAAGCCTTATAAATACGGTTGAAAGAGCTATTTAAAGTTTAGCACAATAACCAGTAGAATGATTCTGGATTTTCTCTTATTATTTTTACTTTTGATTTTATTTCGATAAAACGCGAATTTCACGAAATATATATGGACCCTCCACTTTCAGTATTAATAACTTAAAAAATAAAAGGTCAATCAAAAATTCAAGGTACAGTTGGGTAGAAATTATTCTGTTTTGAAAATGTTTTTGGGCGGCAATATTACAATTTATAAATCTGCTTGCTGTTACGATTGATCTTTATTGTGAATGTAATGATAGCCTAACGATTTTTTTCTGACAACCCCAAACGTTGTACACATACGCTCCCTGCATATGCGAAGACTCCCCTTCATCCACCAGAAGCACTCTCTTTCAAAATTATCTTGCTTTTCTCGCTCATCCGTTTTCTCGCAACTTTCTTTCTTCCCATGACTGTGTATATAATTGTGTAATGCTTAGCTGACGTAAGACCTATGAGCTTCCTGTGCACACGTAATGTTCAGTTTATAAGACAACCCATCTTGCCCCGCCCCCCCATAGTAACGGTGCTTGACAACTGAGGCGGAGCCTAAAGGCTGCCACGCGTACCAGTCAGGACAGGTAGAAAAACTCCAAATGTATATTTTTAGTCCGTGTTGCAAAAATATAACTGAATTCATTATTAGATACTATATCGATTATTTCTAACATATAAAAAACCCAACATCGAGTTTTAGTACCCATTTCCATAGATTAGATCGACCTACTTTAGATCGACCTAACTCCCTGGGGGTTCACGCTAAATAGCTGTCAGCTGGGCGGACACGAAAGTTAATTACCCCTTACAGCTTGTAGTAGGCGGGACGGACATTTAAGTCAGATTATCTGAAAGTAATCTAGTGAGACTCCCCGCGGGGATAGATCGATCTAAAATCTATGGGAATAGAGCCTTAGACGTATTTGTAATATCCTTGAGGCCTTTTAAGGTTTAAAAACCTTTAATAACTTGAACCAAGATTTGATATACAGTGTGCTGTAATCACCATGACATTCCTCAAAATGGGTGTGCTGGATGGAAGGGGCATTTAAATGATAAATGTTGAAGTCTACCTGGAAAAGCAGCAGCTGAGGTTTAAATGATCGCTTTCTCGGTTCCTTTCTCCTTGACAGCAACATAGAAAGCGTTTTGGGAGAAAGTCACACAACGACCCGATATTGTTTTGTTTTCAGCATTTCCTCCTCATTGTTTACTGCAATTAATCAATTAATGGAACATAGTATAGTCACTAGGTGCATTTTTTATGGCCACGCGTTCTAGTCTGATAAATCAGGGATTATTTATTATGAATCGGGGAATCAGGAGATATGCCTCTGAATGGGGAGACCGGTAGTGTTGACAGGTCTAAAAAATGTTGTCTGTAAAATGTGGAGACAAGCTTAGATTATTATGCAATAAGTGGTATCATACGTGCCTTAGATATTCAGTGTGTGCAACATCAAGTGACGCAAAAACGACAAATTATAATCAAGGAGGTGCGTCTTTGTTTATTGGGGAGGGGGGAGGGGGGTAGTGGTATTTGTATTGGTATTCGGATAAAATAAAAAATGTCCAGAATAAAGTACATGTAGGTTCTCTGGTAGTTGATTATTCATGATGATTTTTCCTGCTTAAAAAGGAATAAATAAAAAAATTAATGAATAAATAAATAGGGACTAAGGGTGTTTTTTTACAGCCACCTTAATCCTAAGCGCAGGAAACTCATCCTTTTCTCAAATAATTTATATCTAAAACGTAAGTTATTATGTAGCAGGCCGAAACCTAAGTCAACTGATGCCCAAATTTAAGACATATTTTCCCTTTACCCCTCTTCTCGGTAGCTATTTTTTCAAGAATGGACTGCACAAACTTCTCTCTCTCTCCCCAACACA